CTGTAGGAAACATGCAGTAGAGGAGAAAGTTAACAGCAAAGATGTGTCAAGAATGAGTTTGTATACAGAAATGAGATTGTACTTAAATGTAGGTAGATAAATGACCTTAGAAAGAGTGACAATCGAATTAATATGTACCAAACCAGTAGAAGTTACTTTTACTTTGTAACCATTAGGTAGTGTGACAAGAATAGGAATTGATAGGTCAGTTATATTGGTAAGTAAATTTTTATTTGAGGTCATATGGTCAGTTGCTCCAGAGTCTATAATCCAAGAGTCAATATTTAAATGAGTCTTTAGACATGAACAAGAATCACAACTTCTATGACAAAAACATGCAAGTATACCTGTAAAATTTGCAGAGGCAGTAGGGAACTGATTCTGACCCTCATTGGCAAACCTGGACATGATGGAGAATGCTCATGAGTTGTTTGTACTGATTTGCAGTTATGGTGGAAGAAGTGGGATTCTCAGTAGGATTATCAGCTTTGACCTCAGAGTTTGAGTACACATTGGCAGCAACTCTGACATTTTTATTGCCAAATTTGAAGTTATGTGGATAACCATGAAGTTTATAGCACATTTCTATTACATGCCCACTCTTTTTGCAATACCGGCAGAAAGGTTTCCTAGGGTCTGGAGCTCTCTTTGCATCAGAGTTTCCTCTTTGATACTGAACGGAGTAGTGAAGTTGTATTTCTGATTCTGAGTATTGAGAGTGGTTTTTGGATTATGGAATGAAGGACCAAGGTGATTAGATCCAACAGAGAAGGATGCTGAATCAGATTGAAACATAGGGAGATTCTGAATACCCCTCTATTTCTCATCATGTATAACTAAAGAGTAGGCTTTGCTCACATCAGGAAGGGGTTCCATCATTAGGATGTTCCCCCTAGCATTGTTGAAGATTTCATTTAAACCAATTAAGAACTGCATTAGCTTCAAATTTTGGTCCCTCTTTATCATCTTATGCTTACCCACACAATTGCATTCGCAGACACAATAGGATTTTGTATTCAATGACTCCATTTCATCTCAAAGCCTTTTAACCTTGTTGAAGTATCCACTTACATCAGAAGAACCTTGAGAAACTGAGCTCAAATTCTTCTGAACCTCATACATTCGAGCACCATTGGACTGTCTATAACGTTGATTCAATTCATTCCAGAGTCCTTTGGCGATTTTCAAGTATATGACACTTTGAGAAATGTCTGGGTCGAGAGAGTTGAGAATCCAGCTAATGACCATATTATTACACTGTTCCCATTGATCGAAGAGTGGTGAATCAACATCACGACGAGTATAACTATCATTGATAAACCCTATTTTCTTCTTTGCAGAAAGTGCAATTATAATTCTTCTTCTCCAAGCACCAAAACAACTACCATTGAATTGCTTAGCAACTAACATAATGTCGGGATTATCAGAAGGATGCAAATAAAAAGGGTGAGAAGGAGGAAAAACCAGTTCATCATCAAAATGAAGATTGAGAGATGGATTCGGATTATAAGGATTCAGAGACGGAATTTGGTCAATTTGTTCATCACGATCGCTTTGATCACCCATCACGAACACGTAATAGAGAAGTTACCAGCTTGGAATCAAATTACCCACAGAGAAAGCAAAACTCCAGCCACGATTAACCACAAAGCACCTTCGTTAAGCTACACAGTATCCAAAAAATCACTTATTGAACTAGAGATCATAACAATGAGATATTCGATCAATTTTTTGATTAGAACTGGAAGGGAAAAAATCAAAAAATGATAGAGAACAAAAATTAGGGCAAATCATCGATGAAATTAGGGTAAATCGATTTCGAAGAAATCACTATGAAAATCAACCACACGAGGAGAGGTTATGTGATTTTCATGTCTCTGATACCATATTAGAATCCAAGGATTCGAAGCTAACAACGAGATCGAGAGAGAAAGATAATTGTCGCACACAAAGAGAGAGAGAATGCAGTTTGGTAAAATGACCCGGTGAGGATCTCGGGAATCTTCTATTACCTATATACATGATCCAACCTTGTTCCTATTATAAAGAATAAAGAATCAGCCCAATACAAATAATTAAGCCCAACTACAACATAAGCCCAAAATACAAAATACATGAAAGTGAAACCCAAATATGCTAACATATTTGAAAAGCTGAAGCCTTTGTTTTTCCCATTGGAAACTAGTGTTAATTCATCTTTAACCTGATGCGACTTCAGCAAGCTAACATTTAAACAAGAGTTATTGGTCCCCTACTGGAAATCGTACAAGTCATTTTGTAGTTTTGTCATCACTTAGAGTGATCCACACAAAACAGGCATTTCTTTCTACTATTTCATACATTGGCTAGCTAGCATTATTATTGATGCAACGAATCTTACACTTTTGGACAAACCATATGCCATTGTAGAACTGTGACTTCAATCCGACAATTAGAAACATCAAGAAACAGTAATGTCTTTGGTCCCCTCATCTAACTTGGAATTAAGTAGTTAACTACTGATACCAGAACTTGCTTAGTTAAAGAGAACTTGATTCTGCAACTATGAAAAACATGCACTGCTACAGTTACCTACTTCCTAGCCGACCTAGTTGTTCTTTGCTTTCGGTAATGAGTATTGGACAGATATTTCCGAAGTCCCATGAACCTAAATAGATGTACTATCGTCTATCAATGAAGATATTTGTTATTCTGTCAGGGTAGATAACTTAAATTTTTCAAGATTTATTCTTCTCTTTATCCTACTCGTGTAACATGAGCATAAATACACTTATAAAACAAAGTGTATACGGACGCTAATGTTTGGCCAAAGTAGCTTTCATCTTGCTAGAGGAAAGTGTAGAAGAACATGATTTGGCACATACAGAAGATATACTCTGAATCCAAACAAATGCTTCTAAAAAAGCAACACAGTAACACAGTCAATTAGTTTGGAATTAAGAGTTTTATCTGCCAATGGCAAATAACGCACGAAATGATTCCACAATAGGCAAATTAAAGCCGTGCTTTAAGGTCCACCATTTGAAATTGAGTTGGTAATTGAGACAAAGGATGAGAAGAACATTTAGCGGGGACAAGTAGGATGTCTATAGGGGTTGGTCCCCCCTTCAAAATCTCAAATAAACCAAAATCAATGTCTTTCAAATTTCAAATGCGATAAAAATAGCCAATTTGTGGTGTTTCCTATCTTGATAGGAGTGCATTGTGTGCATCTTAAGGATAAGAAAAGAAATTTTGTGTATCGAAACAAAGGAGAGATGGGGATTCTTGGATTTTCTCCTAACAAATGCCACTGATGGGACCCTGTTGTTTTGCTTGCTTGCTTTACCAACTTAACATTCTGTCTCAATTCTCAAGTCAACAAATGCAGAACTTCCTCGTTAAAGAAAGTTTTAGGACTTAGCAACCTTTCTTGGGTTCAGTATATTATATTTTGTATAGCAAAACAGTTGGGAGCAAGTTCACGTCTTCATACGTTTTTAGAGGGTTAAAAACTTAGGAATTAGGACGATGTTATGCTTTTTCTTTCTTCTTCTCACTAATGCTGCATAGTTTCCAAATCATGTAGGAAGATTTCTTGGAATTATATTATGATATCTAATGGCTAAACGTGGATAGATTCCTGGTTAGATCAGGCAATACATAATAATGCATGCTGTCTAGTTTCACTATACTATTTTAGAAATGGACGACTTTTAATTTGGAAATAATTGAGTTGAGTGTTCACACACTCTTCCCCACCTAGACTTCTTGCTAAATTTCTAATGTAACTATCATTACTATTTTTTGATGCTCTCTCTAGGAGCAAGAGAGAATGTATTGAGAAAGTTTCAAGATGCATCTTGGTTGACATAGTGCAACGTGTTAATTAAAATATTAGGTCATATTGTATTTTAATTTTCCGTTCTCTTCCCGAATCGAGCTATCCCCATTTCTCCCACAAAAGATAAATTGAATCATCAAAAATTTAAAATGTGAAGGGCGATAAGTGGAGAAACACTATTGATCTCTTCCAATAGAGGTGTTCTTAACAAAAAAAGTACCAATGAGTTTGGCATGGTGGGGACAAGAGGGTGCTAAGGAAATTGAATTATTACCCCATTTTTGTGTAATTGTACCCTAAATGTTTCAAACTTGCAAACTAATTATTCCAGAACCAGTGGCAAATTCGACAGAATTCATTACGTCTATCTCGTGTGAGGAAAAAAAAAGGCATACATATAAAGAGTATAACTCATTGACTCTAAATCCCAAAATCGCCATTTATTTAAAACTTCTATTTTCTCTTTACGAGAGGCCGGTGCTGCTCTGACGTGAATGTATTTGGCACTTGTAAATCAAAAGATTGGTCTTCATGGGAGTGCTGTGAATTTTTTAGGCCAAAATTAGGCATTAAAAATGTGATATCATACTCCATTCAACCAATATAAAACTATAACATGCAGTACTAGACTGATAGTGGTGGACCTGGGATCAAAATCCTCCGAGCTGCTCCACAAAATGGCACAAACAATCCTCAGAAAAGAACAAAAAGAGATCATATGAGGGTCCTGAGGGCATTGTTGCAACCTTATCCCATACCATGAAAAAATTGTGTTTTTATTTGAAAAAATGCTTAAGTATTCATATTTCATTTCAATTATCATATGTTACTATTACTGATATATACTTCTATGGAATAGCTGTATGCCTGTATCCCAAAGCATTGATAAAATTGAGTCAGAACTTCAAAATGGTATAGATCAGAGAAACCAAATTATTATTAAGATTACCTACACAAAAGAAGATAACAGCTAAAATAAGTCCTAACTATATAATCTTTTTTCTTTTTTCACCTCAGAAAGTACAAAATATTCAATCTGGGTGATACATGATAAATTATTTGTATGAAGAGACAAAAATCTAAATATACATATCTCAGAAGAAAAGGATGAAACTAAGAACAGATATACGCTGGAACATTAACTTGATCTTTTCTCGAACAGATACTTCCATCTCTCCTACCATTTCTTTTTCTGGTCAAAATGATCATCAGACTCTGTTGACATTGCAAATGATCTTTTACAGTGCAGAATTGCATCAGAAACCGCGTTTTCCATATCGCGCCAAACATCGGTAGAGTTATGATCAGAGGATGGACTTCTTATAGGTGAAGCATGTGCTGAATTGCTCCAACTTTTCACCTTTCTCAAACGCTTAATTCTACTACTGCTTCTTTGGTTCTTCTCATTTCCAGTCCAATCAACAACAGAATAAGATTTAACCATTCGACGAGGAGATCCCTGAAATAAAGAATTAGTAGTAGTACTCTTGCAGCTTTGAATTTCTGATTCTTTTCTTTGAAGGTCATCAACTTTTGCACTTTTTCTTGAACTTCCAAACCTTTGGGAAAATGGCCTGAGGAATCCAAACCACTTAACCAAAACTCTGCCTGAAAATTTTCTCCATTTTTCAAGAAAATCAGCTTGGCTAGTTCTAGAAGAAAGTGTAGATGCTGGTGTGGGAGGAGTTGATGAGGAAATTGATGAAGTATTGAAATTATTTAAGACTTGTTCAAAAGATTCAATCTTTGATCTATCAAAATACAAAGGCATAATGTGTCCATCAGAAAAGATTTCATCAGCAGGGACAGATTCAACAGAAGGTCGAACATCAAAGTTGAAGTTTTGAGCTTCTTCTAGGAATCTTTTTGAATAAGCAATAAACATTATATCTTCCTCATCATCAGTAATATAGGAGGGTCTAAGGGTTTCAGTAAGACTATCAATGGAAGGTTTTCTGTTCAACAACCAGCTGTATGAAAAACTCTCTGTGGCAAGAGGCTGTTGGGAATTTTCCATTGTGAAATAGTACTATAATATGTGAAAAAAGGGAAAAGGGGAAAGAGTTGCTTATATAGAGAGTGCAAGGACACTAATACCCTCTAAAATTAGCTTATTTTGAAAATTATTTTTTTTATTTGGCTAATTAATTTTAAAAAAATACTTCTGAGCATCAATTTATGTTTGGCTAATTAATTTGAAAAGTACTTCTGAGAATCAATTTGTGTTTGGTCAAACTTTTAAAAAGTGTTTCTAAATGTATTTTTCTCAAAAGTGTTTCTAGGAAGAAACTACTTTTTTCTGCTTCTGCATCTACTCAAAAGCATTTTTTTTTTGTTCTAAAAGCTTGGTCAAACACTTTGATTTTGAATTTTTTTTTTTTAAAAAAAAAACTATAAGACATGTTATATGTACAAGTTAAAATACATTAATACTGTAAAAATCAGGGTAAAAAGAACAGTTCGGTACACAAAGCGCATATCACATTCACTCAGAATCCGCTAAAGGGTCACACTTTCAAGGGGTATCATATTGACAGTTAACTCTAATGCAAATATTAGTGGCTGCTTTAATGGCTTGAATCTGTGACATATATGATACACGAAGACAATTTATATATATATATAAAAAAGTTAAATCCTTACGTAAATGCTTGGCAAGCAATAGAAGCTAAATCCTTACGTAAATGCTTGGCAAGCAATAGAAGCACTCACGTGAGCATATAGAGGCACTCACGTGGGCATGTTTTAAAATGACCTCAGAAATACAAGATTGCATGGGTTTTTTTATGAATAAAAGTTTTAGCACCTACACATATTCCATTCATACCAAACAAGCAATTAATCTGGTCAACTGACCATCTCTTTTTATTCTTTTTTGTTTCTCAAAAAAATCATCAAATTTACGTAGCTATATCTTTCGAATTCTTTTATTTCTTGTCTTTTCTGCTATATATGCAACACCTATTGTTATCACTGCCGTCCAACTAAATACAAATATTATTTCCGCAGCTCCATTACTTGTAGGAAAAGAACATTCATATTAAAACAGCCAGAAAAAAACAAATAAATAAGTGCAAGGAATTGCTAGCTGATGTTTCTGAATATAGAATACATCATTTAATACAAGGTGTTTAACTTCTATCCATGCAATTTCTTTTTTCACTATCAAGTACCTTAAAAAATACACATCTTTTTTTTTTTATACTGTGCCCCTGACATCTTTTTATATATATTGAAAAATAATTTGACTTTAAACTCCTGTTTTAACCTTAGAAATGATTTATAGTCACACAAATGTTGATGACTTGTTTGAGAAATCTTTCTTTTTTTCTTAAAAGATGTGTTCAATCAAATATCACCACATAAATTGGGGTGGAGAGCATAATTATCCAACAGTTTACTAAAGGCCAGTTTGATTAGGACTCTGTGACCAACAATTCCTAATTAAAGGCCAATTTGATACTCCTATTAGAGATTTCTTTAAAGGCCGAAAGCGCGGCTAGTCATTCATAATTCTTTGACCAACGTCATTTTACTAAAGTCTAGTTTGATGACATGCATATGATGAGGAAATACCCTTATTGTGAAGGAATGGTGTAAGGAGATAAGTTACTTAAAAAACTGCAACTATTAACAGACAAATGAAGCCATGGACCATGCTTCAAACAGATTATTCTTTGCCTTTTGCCATTTTCAATACAACAAAATGCACCTTCCTCCATGGTAGAAAAAATTGATTGCTTTAAAGTATTATTTATAATTATCTGTCTCTTGGCTGTTAGGACTTAATCAGATAAACGAAAGAAACGAGCAATTGTTTAGCAGTAGAGTAATAAAATATTTAGGACTATAAGATATAATGACCCCAGAATGGAGCCAAAAGGTTTGGAATGTCACTAGCTACAATTTAAATACTATTAACTCTGGAGATGTGATGGTTTTATTTTTTATTCCTGTATTCATTATGGTAAAAACTTAGAAGAGTTCTAGAAATAGTAATAAAAGGAAAGAAAAGAATAAGCACAAGGCAAACATGGGGTCCCTAATTTGTTGGGAGAAAGGGCAGAATCAGAGGCTGGAATTTGGTAACTGCCACAGAAACTGATCTACAAAAGGTCCCCTACTAGTTTGTCCAAAGGAACAGGACTTGTCTGTTGACTGCCTGTCTATTAGTTAGGTGAAAAAAATTATCAAGATAATAAACTGCTTTGAGTTTTTTTTTTTTTTTTTAAAAAAGGCATTAAAGAAATCGATATATCATTCTTTAGTGCTTCAATAAATCTTATTCATTCATCACTAAGACCAAGCGTTAATGATTCATTGTGATAGAAAGGTGCAAGGCATGCCTTATATATTAACACGAATTAAGTGCTATAAATTTTAAGAAATCAGATTGATCTAGTTTTCTGACTAACTTCTCTGTTATGATTCATGACTTAGTTCAAAAGGTAGCATGTCCCCGCATAATGCATATAGTGGCTTTTCATCCATAAATATAGAGACGTATTCTACCTAACCAAGCAATACTGGAAATGATGATGAGAATTCTGGTTTCTTATTGATGACTAGCTTTCAGTACTGAAGCAACCGGTCCATTTCCTTGAAAAACTAGTATTTAGAAGAGGTTCTGTGGACAAGGTTCATATTTTGCAAGCTTATTTCAAAATATTAAATTTAGTTTTATTTAAAAGGACAAACTTTGCCTTCGTTTTAAGAGACTAATTAGAGCATGCAACGCTAGCTAATGAACTATATTCAAGACTCCATGCACTAAGCAAATCCAAAGAATACTTCAAGAATTCAAATAAAATTTAGAACTGTTTAACCGTGAAGCCTGAGGTCAATCAACAACAAAATTAGATTATTTAACATTCAACGACGCGATCCCTGCAACGAAGAATCAGTACTCTTGCAGCTTAGAGTTAAGGAAATTGATCAAGTGTTGAAATTATTAGAAACCTCTTTAAAAGATTCAATCTTTGATCTATCAAGATGATACAAAGGCATGACGTGTCCATCAAAGAAGATTTCATCAGCAGAGACAGATTTAAAAACAGGATGAACATCAAAGTTAAACTTTATATCTTCTTCATTATTATCAGTACTATAGGAGGGTCTAGGGGATTCTGTTATGCCATTAATCGAAGGTTTTCCGTTAACAATTAGCTGTAAAAACTAAAGAGTTCTTGAAACTGTAGAAAAGGAAAGAATGAAAGAAGAACCAGCTCACACAGACTGGGGTCCTTAGTTTCTTAGGAGAAATTAAAGGGCAGAATCAAAGGTCGGATACTGACATAGGAACAGTTTGCCAAAGGAACAGGACTTGTCTGCTGACTATACTTGCCTATTAGGTAGGGTAAATAAGTATATCAGTCATCTCAGTAAGACATTTTCCGTTATCAGAATTCATAATTCTCTATCTGACCAATAAGAAAACATTTTACCGTTTTGTACCATGATTAAGGCCACAATTAAAATCAACGCCAAGAATGATAAAGTACAGTTTGAGGAGAATAATGATGCATCAGCTGTCAAAATAACCTAGTATAATATTTACCAGATTAGGAATGCATTCCTTGGTGTGCTTAAGAATGTATTAGAACCATGAAGACATAACATAAGCATCTAAATGACAGATATCTATGCAAAAATTTGGTTGATCTCTAAAGTGAGTTGGGACAAGTAATGCCAACCCCATATCAAGTAATAGCCTGAAAATGAATCTGTACAGTCTACGAAGCAATTATATAGGATTAGTTAAGTAGCTGAACTGCTCAGATAAATTACTGCAAAATAAAGTTCTTACACAAATTGCACAAAACCACCACCAAAGAAACTCTAGGCAGAACAACTTAATGCTTTCACAAATAAGATCATGGATGAGATAGATCCCCTTGCCTAACTTCAGGTCAAATGCACAATTCACACTACCAACACCAGTAAAATAAAAATGACAGTTTAAATGTAATTTTTTACTGAGAGTAGAAACGCAGTAGATTGGGCCAAACGGCTACACACTTGGGCTTGTGAACTAATAAGCTTTAGCTTGGGCTTTCAACACANATATATATATATATATCCTGCTAGTATATTGGGAGGCAGCTGTACTGTGTAAAATCTCAACGTTTTTTCAGTCATGAGAGTCAAATTTAACTCATGCAACTGCAACTCTTCTACGTTTTGAGAGCTAGATAGAGAATAGATTCATGGATGGGGTGTGCAGATTGGATTAAGAATTAAAATATAAAAAGTAAACATTACTCCTGGAAAAGAGATATATGTTGATAGTATAGAATTTTGATACTTCTGTATTTTCTTCTTAAATTTATTATACTAGGGATTAGGGAAGAGAAAGCAGTGAGATTGAACTACACCTATTGTGAATTGTGAATTGTGAGAATTGAACAATATTACCATCAGGCTATAAGCTTTGGCTAATTTCTTATTGTATTGTTTTTGCTTATGTGTGTAAAAATTTTGTTTATTTTAGATTCTATATTGTTTTTCATTAATTAACCTCAAAATTTGTAAAATGAACCACAACATCTACTTAGTTGTAGTTGTTGTATATGGAGTGGAGGCACCTGGTTAATACGATAGGCAAAATAGCGCTATCTGGTCCTTTCTCCAAAAATGCATTTCAATTTGTCTAACCGTCCAATATTCCCGCTGGAACTAGATATTTGGAGAAATTCAAAAATGACAAAGAACGATTTCCTGTTTGGTGTTATTTCATATCATTTCATAATGGTTTTATACCTAATAGTATTATGTTGTTGAAATAATATTGGATAGATTATATTAATGTAAGTTACTAATATACCCTTATTAAGATACTTAATATTAGATTTCTACACAATTCAAAACTTAAAAACAAAGATAAAATAAATGAGATGGTGAAGTGGCTAGAAAGAGGAAGACATTGTCTAATGTCTATAATGGCGAGGATTAGTACCTTTACAAAATGCAGAGCAAATACTCCGACGCAAGCAACATTTTATGCTATACTATACCAAT